TGATCCTCACTGTGCCTGGTTGGAGACACTACAAGATATGGCTGCCAACCGATGTCAGTGGCGTTCTTGTTGTCAGTTTCTATCCAGATTGCCTGAGTGAATGTCTGGAGGTGTAGGGACCTCGGAATGATTGTGTTAAGCTAGCACTAAGTCCCTCCCCCATCCACCTTTATTCTTTTCTTTACAATAAGACTTTCAAATAAGTCATGGTTGTACGGCAGTGAAGCATCGGTGTTGAACACTGATATCATGCTGTCGTTGATGATGATGATGACACGGTCCACACCGTCGCTTCCCGGCCGGAATCCCCCTAGCTGTTCTCCGGTCACGTTTCCTCACAAGATGTTGCAAAGTGAACGATGCAAGGAGTCTGAGTACAGTGAGGCGAAGTGGCTCAGCAGTTAATTGCGAATTTACTGACTGCATCTCGACTTCTGTCTAGGCTTAGGCCACCTGGCAGTATCCCAGCCCCCCTACTTTCGAGTAGCATCTCAGGTAGCTATTTCCATTATTATCACAGTGGGATTTGTGATTGCCACACTCATTGTGAGAACCCTTTTTAAAAAAATAGGCACCAATGTCGACTCACCTGGAACAATTTATTTTGCAGGTAAGTAAGACAAGCGCCAATTCAGGATTTCACCTCCATCGCTGAACAGAGTGCGTAAGAGTCCTTTAGGTCCAGCAACTCGGTGATAGTTGAGAGACGAAATGCATTCACTTACTTCCGAAGCCGTCAGGGGTTTTAATTCCACTGCCCAGGGTTGCGATGCGGGTTGGGGAATCAGGCTGGTCAACTTCAGGTGACCAGTGGAGTTTTTGCTGGAAGTGACAGTCTCTTTTTCGAAATAAACAAGCCGTCAGAAAACGTCTTTTCCGAGCGGGAATTCAGTAGATGGTTTTGGTAGACTTGTTTCACATCAAGGTCCAAGAACTTCTCAATAGCCACGCCAGGTGTGCGCATCTTACGTGCTCCTGAAAAGCGCAGCGAGAAGTAAAGATGAACAAGCGCCTGATCCCAATCCATACAAGTATTCCAGAACAAGCCATGTTTAGTGGTTGACTCACTCCACCTATGGCTAATGGCGATGTGGTTTATCTGTACTAATGGTTGGCTCATATGCGGAGGGCAACAAGTTGCCTCGATTATTCCTAAAGCAGATAACTGCATCAGGTATTTGCTGTTGTCTGTGTGTTTCTTTTCTAGCCCATGACAACCATCAACTTGTGCCTCAGCAGCGCCAGTCTATCCACTTGTGTATACATATTTCCAGCAAACATAACATCTGTGCTCGTATCCCGCTGAAACAAGATTCCAAAAAAAAAGTCTGAGTGTTTCAGAGCTTGCGTCTGTTGGAGTGTAAGTAGATACGACGAAGATCGTCGAGCACAACCCTACATTCTTCAACTGTCTTGCAAAAAATCGTTTACATGTAACACCCTTTTATCGCCTAGTTGCCGTGCTATTCGAAGGAAGCACAAGGGCTCAGATACCACTAGGTTGCCCATGCCTAGAAAGGAGCATTAAGATGCCTAAGTCGGCCCCGAACTGCGGATCATCCTGTCCCGAAGTTTATGCCTTAGCCACTGAGCCATCTCGAATCTTGTGAGTCAGACTTTGGAATCAGAGTGAAGTACCCCAGTTAAACCCTCGTCCTAGGTAGCTGATTTCTCGCACCTTTTTCTTCGGGTGTTTGATGATCCTAATGCGATGGCTCGTGGTGCCTACACCGTGCGAATCGTACTTCGCCCCAGGACCGAATCCGCTTGACTGGATTTCAGTGAACAGTAGTCTGTAAGCCGTTAGGTTGATGATGCTCGAACCATAGCTCGTGTGAGTTGGTATCGGTGTATCCGTAGCGAGGCAATTAGAAAGCGAGTGTTCGGTTGTGAAACAGCTACTTCCATTGAAGAATGCGTACAGCGCCGGAAGCTGCCTTGGTTGGGACATGTGTTGCGTATGCCGAAGAGAGTGCTGTTTTCCATGCCCAACTCAAAGTGGCGGAAGCAGAGAGGTGGTTCACCCCTGACCAAGAAGAGGGTTATGAAGGAGATTACGAAACGTTTGGGTGCTGTCGGTGCCAATCGCCTTCCAGGATGGGGACTGCGTGATCCCCAGTGGGCCCGGTTGAGGACGCTGCAAGCTATGGCCGCTAACCGACGTCAGTGACGTTCTTGTTATCAGTTCCTATCCAGATCGCCTGATTGAGTGTTTGGAGGTGTAGGCACCTCGGAATGATTGTAATAAGTTAGTACTAAGTCCCTTTCCCGTACACCTCCATTCTTTTCTTCACAATAAAGCTTTCAAGTAAATCATGGTTATACGGCAGCGAAGCGTCGGTGCTGAACACTGATGTCGTGCTGTCCATGGTCATGATAATGATGATGATGTAGGGCAGCTTAACATTTGTGTCGAACACTGATATACTGTCTGAATGCGCGAATCATCCCTGTGTCAGTTTACTCGTCATTCAAATGTTTAAATTCCGTTTTGAATACCCAGGTTCGAATCTCCACATGGGCCCCTTAACCAGTCACCGGATTCATGTTGGATATTGTGTGTACATGTTCACTAAATAAAAGACGCAGAAAGGCATACTAGAGAAACCGTAAACAGTAGTCACATTTACCTGTCTGGGTAGTAGTGTCACGCATTGCCGACAAACTGAATGCTAGAGCCGCTAAATGCGGTTCCGCTTCACTCAAACTTAATTACCTCGGGTCGATGTGACCTTAGTTCGTAAGTGGAAAATAGTGTGTCCAACGTTGCTTTGCGATTGTGATACCTGGCCGCTATGTGCATGGGACACAAGAAGGCTGCTCTTGAGCATCGGTGTCTGTGGAGCTTTTCACATTTATAGTCGAATTAGCAATGTTGAAGTGCAACGAATGTTTTCCTGCAACAAACCAATTTGTGGTTTATTCAGTTGCTTGGTCATGTGCTATGTATGCCAGATGATCGATCGCCTTACCGTATCCTGTTTACTGAGGTGGACTTCGACTAGAGAAACTATTAGGTAAACCGTTCATGACCTGGAGACGGAGCATGAAAAAGCTCTTGGCTGCTCTGGTGCATGCTTTATGTAAGATTTGGAAATCAGTGACCCACCGTCCCAATGGTTTGATGTAGTCACCGACATGGCGACGTCATGCTGTTGAGCGGATGCTACTCCAAGACTACTCGCCACTCAACGTATAAAATACATTACCCCGACAATTGATTGCTGTCAGAAAGCATGTTCCAAGAGCTCGATGTGGCGCAAAGTTTGGAACCCATGTTTCAGTCAATGGGCACCCGACATCGTGCAATGGTCCTAGCATCAGTAAACTGGTGAGCTTCCAGATTCCTGGCTATATTAGACTATGTGACACGGAAGCAGTTCTTCGATTTTATGAACTTCCATCATAAATTCAGCGGTTAAACCTGCACAACACAGCTTGCATTGGTAAGGTCACGTCAAACCACCATCTGCACCGCGGAAATCTTTTCACTCCACCACCAATAATGTTGGCCATTCTAGCATCCTTTTTCAAAGGTGTCCATCGACTAATGAAGACGATGATACTCATGTCAACGGTGCATAGTCGTTGGTGATCTTTTACCGGAACTCTCGTTGTGCTTGGCTCCATGTTAACCAAAAGTGGCCCATCGTCTAAAGTTTTAAATTTCCCCTAGTCAGTGTGAACTCTCACAGACTCTGAATATGCGACCATCCCTCTACCTTCACTGTCATTGTCACACTGTCATAGTCACTGTCATAGATCACACAATTTAATCTAATTGAATATGATTGCTCTGTCTAACCCCACTTTGGACCACCGGAATTTTCTATGATGGTAGTCTGATCATGAGTGGTCGACCTTGCAGAGGGTCCATAACAGCACTTTCTTTAAACCACGTTCTTGTGTGTAAACCATCAACCTAAACAGAAGCTACTCGGATTCACTTTGGTGACCCCTTTTAAAAGAATTACTAGAATCACTAAGTAAGGTAGCAGGACCAGGTATTCAGTGGTACTATCTGCCTGTTCATTCTCCCGCGCCCGTTGGGTCAACTTACTTCTCTTGTTTCATTGTGAGCTTTTCCGTGGTAATCGTGCTTAGTCGTTCCTCGTACTTTGTGCTCATGTTAGTACATGCCTCTCTAACTAGGTGCGGTACAAGACGTTCGCGAATCGCACAAGTCAGGACATCAAATTCGATCAAATTTTGAGGACCAAACCATTGACGACCCACACTTCCCCTACAAACACCAATACATTTTCCACTCCGCTCGTCTCTAAACCAATATACAGCCCACGGAAGCGAGTTAATGTGGTTTCGTTCACTCCGGGTACTGATGGTCAGGAGCTAATTACCAAGTCTCCAGAAAAGGTGACAGCAGGTGCCAACGATCCTCCCCCCGACCCGGTCGCCTCTTTCCAGACCAAACATGCCTCAGAGGGTTCTCCAACGCCCAAGGCATTTGATGTGCCAGTTCTTGCTGTTACTGCGGGTAATATACAGGCTCATGTAATCACAGGCACTACTTCGACGTCATGTTTTAATGTCCTTTACACTTCACAAACCCCTAATCCAGTCACAGTTATGGGGAAGCGGTCCGCTGATACATCCAGTCGGCAGGGCGGTGCTAAAGGGCAAGCAGGGGTGATATTGCAAGCTCCCGATACGGCCCCTGCCGGCAAACCTGTTCCACCTAACCAACGGATTAAATCTGCTAATAAATCACAACCTCCCGTGCCAGTTACGAGAGTGGCGTCTCTTGCTCGCGAACCAATTGTAACCAGAAAACCGCCATCCGTCAGGCCTGAACTCCAGCTGCCTAATTCCAGACCTGCCCCTTCCTCCAACCCTTCCGCCTCGGGCAATCCAACGAGCCCTACTTGCAAAGCTATCCCACCATCGCGAGCCACATCATTTCCCCCGCAGTCCTTTCGAGATGTGAGTGAACTTCCAGCTACGAAATTACAGCCATCCTCTGTCCACAACGGAAAAAGGAAAAGAGTAAGTGGCGTCCGGTGGTTCTGAAAATTCGTCTTTTTTGTTCACTTTTGGTTTCTTAGTCGTTGATGTTGGCTAGATGTTCTGGCGGAGCTCATACGATCAGTGCCTATCTCTTCTGTTCACATTGTTGGAGACACGTTTGTTCGTGTCGCTGGCTTATTACCGAAAGCCTGAAATTGAAAACTGACTTACATGACAGGAGTGAAACATACTACCTGGAATCAACTCCGGCTTCGTAATTGCCCGAAGGCCTACCCTTTGAAGGTAGGCCAACCATCCTGTGCTCCCAGTGCACTTTTCGTTCACAGGTTGTTTGATAGATCCCAAGTCGTAGAGCCAAGGTCCTAAGGTTGTTAACATCTTGCCACCACAATACCACTACAGACTGGCTTCATGTCATATTGATTGGGACGACGTTCCAAAACCGTTTGAACGGTTACTACGGTTCAGTTCAGGTGGTCAAACTCTCGCGGACCACCATGTTTTGTCGAACACAATGGCACATAACCACACACATAGCTTTTTTGTCCTTCCATATTTCTGTCCCTCTAAGTTGCCAATCTTCTTGATTTGCTCTCGTTCTGACCACACCAATGAGCCTAGGTCTCTGAACGAGGTAGACAAAGTAAGCCATGGCATCTACACTCATTCCCGAATTAATTTCAAGAACGAACGATGGATTACCATCCACGCGTCCCAATATTTTTTTCGTTGAACGATCCTTGAACTAGTGTCCTCTCTAAATGTCGGATAACCCAGCTGTCGCCAAGTCGACTACTAACTGGCAGTTTGCGGATTCGAAATTTCTGTGAAAGCAACTGCTCTGTTCTGCAATAGACGGTTAATGGCATTTAAGGCTGGTAAGTGACTAATTGATAATGCAAGGTTTATTCACCTGGATTCTATTTGATCCTACCTATTTCTTTGTGAAGAAATTACTAACTGCCAATTCCCCTCACTGCTAACCTTCAACGGACCTTCAGGTCACGGTTCAAAACCCATTGTGGAGAGATTTGTCCTAGAGTAATCCTGAAGCCTGGTTTCATCAACCTTGACGGAGAAAATGCCAGCAACTAGTGTGTCACGGTGTTTGTTTTATCGCTGCTGATCCGTGCTAGGACACTTCCACCTTGTTTGATCCGTTGTTTTCGAAAACTATCCTTAGCCGACCAATCGCCCGTCGTTTCGGTCGGTTGCACCGGCCTGTAAATTTCAGCACTGGATAGGGTGAACTATTTGTTGTTGGATGGGGCGAGATGGCCCAAGTGGTTAGAGCGCTAATTTACTGACCGAAATGTCCGTGGTTTGAATCCCATCTCCGCCTCTCGACTTCCCCTGTCTAAGCTTGGGCAACCTGGCAGTATCCCAGCCCTCGTGCTTCCTTCGGCTGGCGTGTCAGCTAGGCACCGAGAGAGTGCTGCAGCTGAACGCTTGTTGTTGGATTTGGCCGACAAGGACTATCGTAAACTCCGTAAAATCTTCGAATTGAAATTTTGCCAAAAAGCCAATCGCCTACGCTACTCCCAAATGTGAAGCATGCCGATGATGATGATAGAGCCATTATGCTGAATTGTTCTTATCTAACACTGGAACGGGACCAACGAGAACTACAAGTGAAGTGGGACAGCCAAGGTCTATTTGCAAGGTGGGGGTCACAGTAGCGGGCATCAATGTGGTTGCGCATACGGTGTGCTGAACACGCGCACGTAAGCAGACTGCATGCGTGAAGCAGACAGTGGGAATATTGCGTAGCATGACATCAATGTTCAACACTGATCATCCGCTGCCTACATAGAGAAAACATATCATCACGACACAAACATAGGTGGAACCGTCACACTACATACTACACTAAACATTGTTTCTAAGGTGTTTCCAGCTGCTGTGATTTGCGGGAACGTGATTTTTCAAGCCCGTACTCGATTATACGGATCGGTGAACTTTGTGGCGTAGTTAAACTGTGAACTCAGACACAACGTCGATAGACGGGGTCAACTAATTGGCTGTAGTGCCTTACCACCTGGGAGTGAATAGCCCTCCGGTTTTCATGGTCTATATCTAAACGGAAGCGACTGAAAATTTAGGTCTTACACGTTTTTTGGCCAGCAGCCCCCGAGCGTTTCACTATAGTAGGAACTGAATGTCACGGGTACTGATTTCTCTTGGCCAATTTGCACTCCTGGAAATTCTTCCCGGCGACTAAAGTAGCAGACGTCACGTTCATTGACCAGCGTGGAGTGCTGAAGCGGTCGACAGGCCACCGGTGGATAGCGTGCCTGCGCACTAATGACCATACACACGTGCCACACGAATCACCCCCTCTTTTGGTGGTCGGGTACTGAAGTCAAGTCGCGTTGTCCCTTCCTTAACTGTGCACATCTCCCCCAGTTGTTCGGTGTTCAAAGGCAGTTGTGCCATACGTAGATACGTAGATCGACACGCGCTCATATAACCCGCCTGGCCTGTTGGTAGACTGAACGACGACTGGGGTCACACAAGCACACGTAAACAACTAATCGTGACAGGTCCTTAGTTTGAAACCATAACTGTCCACTATATCTCATTCGGAATGAGGAGAGGCGGGGTGTTTCTTTTGACGATTAGTGCGCGAATGCATAGGACTCCAACACTAAGATACTCCGTGCTTTTAGTGAATATTTTTCGTCCACTGTCCATGCGGTTAAAATCAGTTACTTAAACTACATCAGGTTGGAATCGGCACAAAGAAATCAAGAGCCGAAGAAACCCAGCGAAACTCATGTAGGAGATAGTTACTCACGTGATTCTTCACGTGGTCAATGAGTGTTTGGTCGGGAAGAACAAAATCGGCTCAGTGCGGATAGTATGCCTGATCGCGGTACGCTGTCAACCAGGTACGTTTTCTTAGGGGTTAGCGATATTCGAACAAAGTAGCACTTCCGCCACATTGCTCTGTACCCTCTTTTTTAGGTTGCGTATAATCCCCGCCCTTGGCAGAAAGAACTGGACCCAGAAGATGGCTCACCAACGAAGCAGGTAAGTCCTTTCGGAGTAATAAAGATATTTCGGCACCTACAACTTATCATTCTTCGTAGCTCGTTGGTACGAATGTTTGGCTGGCTGTCTGTCTCTTGAGCTATTATGACCCGGTGTCTATTTTGGTTCGTTATCGCACAAATCCGAAGTACCGAGAAAGAGGGGATTTATCATTAGAGACCATATGTAGAAACGGTGCGACAATTACTTGGAAAAAACATAACTTGAGTTGGATTGGGATAACGATTATCTCAGCTTCTAAACAGTTTGTGTGAACTGGGGAAAATGCAAAGGATGTAGTGCTCCCAAGACCGGGAAGGAAAGAAAACAGTTAATTTGTAGAATGGGGGTAGAAACTTGACCGGCCTGGTCAGACGAGCAAAATTTGGTTGTACGATTAAGAAGAGAAACAGAAACGACCAGTTCCGATGCAATAGTTGCAGTCGAATAAGAAGCGAGACGGAAAAACCCCGATGGCGGAAAACAGTTTGCAAGTTGTCGGCCATGTAAGGTGTCTCTGATGTGTATGCCTGGATCAAAATGCGACCCCATTTCAAGCACGGTAGCAGTGTTCTGGGACAGAGTGGAACTGTGGCGTACAGTGGAGAATTTAAACCAGGGTAGAATATTTGCCTGTTGATGCTGTCGTGAGGACTTTGAACACCAGCATAAGTTTCTGAAATATGTCACACCAAGAGAAATGGGGGACTGTAGTAAATCACCACTGAAATAACGAGGGGTGATGGGCAGGCTAAGGGGCTTGGAGGCCTTGGTGTATTGGATGGTAGCTGGTACACTAGTGGCATGTGCACGATCGTCTACAAACACTGGATCTCGGCTCTAAACATCACTGAAATTACTCGAGGCTCGGACATATATTCCTCCCGGTCGAAAGTACACCTCAGCCATAGGCAGTGCAACTGGAACTCCCAACGGCTTCGAAAACAGACGAATGCCTCCTCTACCTCAACCGTCACTGCGCAGCTGGTCCTGACGAACTCGCATAGATTTTGTTTAAAGATGGTGGTGAAATTCCAAATCGTCGCTTGTCTCACTTATTTGTCCGTCCCAACCAATTGGAATGAGTCGATGGTCGCATCCATTTTCAAAAAGAGCTTTCGCGTTGAGTATGACAATCCCAAAGAAATTGACCTACTTCCATCTTACCCGGACTCTGTGTCGCTTATTTGATGTGGACTGACGAAGGCGCGTGACCCGAGAGCAGCAAGCAGAATTCCGGCCGGAAAGAGGCTGTGTGGACCACATCTTCACAATCCATCAATTGCTAGGTCAACAGCATGAATGTAGGCAGCAAGCAAATTCCGGCCGGAAAGAGGCTGTGTGGACCACATCTTCACAATCCATCAATTGCTAGGTCAACAGCATGAATGTAGGTGCCTCGCATTATTGGTGTTCTTTAACTTCAATAGTGCATTCGATTGAGTCGACCGGTTCTTTTCAATACGCTTGCCCCGAAGCGTATGCCTCTGAAGTTCGCCAGTACCATGCTCAGTTTGTATTCACGTACTTGCTGGCGGCGTTGTCTGACACGGGTGTCCAGAAGGGAATGTAACGTGTTATGACAAGTCTATGTGCTGTCGTCGGCTTTCTATGTTTGGTTGCAAGTGACCCTGTGCTTGGTTAGAGACAGTGAACAATATGGCGGCTAACCGATATCAACGGCCTTCACGCCGTCAGCCTCCGTTCAGATCGTCCAACTGAGTGTTGTAGATGTAGGCACATCGTATGTTAGTTGCAGGTTAGCCCCAAGTCCCGCATTTTTCTTCTTCCCATCATAGGGCTTTATTCACATCAATTGACATGGATGCACGGTCGTCAAGCCTCCTCTGGTGTTGCTGTCAATGATGGTGATAGTCGTTGTAAAGTGGGATCGGAGCGGGCACTGGGAGGTGTAGGACGACGAATGATGCAAATTGATGTTACCCTCAATCACAGTGATGAGATGTGTCACAATCGATAGCAAAACATTGATACAAAGAAAGGATAGGGGGCAGGGGATACAGCTTTTTGGATTACTTCGGCGTTGGTGTTTTGAGCTTCAGAGACAACACGTGTCTGCATACGACGAACACAGAGGACACCTCCAATCCAACTGACCTTCCCTCGCCATCAGCTGCAAGAACCGCGTACTTGTTTCACAGTGGTTATAGCTGTCACAGTTTCGTTCAGCAATGATCTGGTAGGCGGCTGCGCATTGGGGGCGGTAGCTGATGAGTAAATACAGGGTTGTCAATGGATTTTTGATTGTGGAGATTCGGAAGGGAGCTACGCATTGAAGGTAATAGCTTGGATGCACTTGCGTCATTGAGGGCGCGACTGACAATGTCTAACCATTAATATGTCCCGTCTCGCGATCCCCATCCAGGGAGACGGCAATGACCAGTGCAGCTGAGTTCTCTGGTAATAGCTTTCATTCTTCGCTGCCAAGTTATTGCTTGAACTCCCCTGGCTCGCTCGCACCCTATACGTGGTTGTGCGAAAAAAGCCATTCGAGGAAGTTGGTCGACTGGCACACGGGGCACGCGGCCAAGCCAGCGCAACCTATGGAATGTGAGTTATTTCTTCCGGAAACCATTTGACCTACTTCAACATTACTGATTCGGTGTTCTCACCAGGCTCGGGCAATGCTCCGAAGGCATCGATGGTCAATCACTGAAAGTCTTGACGTCGTCGGCGCACCACATACCACCTTAGATGTCCTTCTCGAACACTGGACGAAAACGGACAGAGTGAATGTCATCAAAATCGGCTAGCTGCAGTCTCCATCCAAGCGTTAGAATGGTCACGGGAAACCAATCCTGAATTGCGACATAGGTAATGAAATCTTCAGCTTACTTCTGGGTAGCTAATATTGAACAAGGAACTCTACTTATCCCATGTTTAGAATCTGCGAAGCCAAGGGTACAAAGAGTGTTCACTTTATGAAGTTGACCGTGTTCAGCTGTTCCAAGTTTCCGCAGCAACAGTCGAACTTACCATGCCCTATCGAACTGACGAAAGTCGGTCGGGTGTGCCTTCCAAAAATTCTCCCAGATTCAGCAGCGAAATTGAATTTATTAATCAAGCTGACAACACAAGAAGATGGAGGTCCATCTGACTTTTCTGGTCCAGACCAGCTGTTTTCTGATAACACGGAACTTCGCTCCCATGAACGAGCTTTACAACAACGCAAAGTAGTGTAACAGCTGTCGAATAGTTTTCAACAAACTTACGAGTAGTGTCCCTTCAAGAAGACAGAATTCTTTGAGGTATTGATTGCAAATCGACTTGGCAAGTATGTGTGACCAAGAGCGTGTTTTCGTGTCAGATCAAGCTGTGGACCAAAGAATTTGTGAAAAAATGTCGTAGGGAACTTCTGTTGATGTAAAATTGCACTGCCCATTCAGGTTTTGTTTTGAGTTACTTCAAACACTTGTCCCCTCCCCTCATCAGAATACAACAAGCCTGCAAACATTGCGCACCTATATAATGCCATCTGTGTCACTCTAGCGACTGTAATAAACACTAAACCGATCCATTCTGTGAATCAGATCACGTGTATTCCCAGAATCATGAGTCGGTTTTGTCGACTGCACGGTGACATATGAGCTCCCAGCCCGAATCTTTAAGGCTCGAATCGAGAAACCTGTGTGGCGGCAGACATCTTCGAATCTGAATGGACGTGTCTCCCCTTCGGGTTGTTTTATTATGTGGCTGTGGTACGTGGCTGTTGCGAGCAGTAGAACTCAAATGTCTTCAGGTCCTCGATAACGGTTGTCCCAGAAATGTCACACATGTGGGCTGGTTCCAACGAATCCGTAATCAAACAGTTGGAAAACAAGTGTTCGTTTGTGTAATGAACACCTCAGTCGAAGCGTGTGTTCAGTACCCAAATTTGCGGCACTTTGGTAATGTATTGTGCATGTCGTGCCGTTTTCCGTGCCCAATCCAGAGTTGCGCAAGCAATATGGTGGTTCACCTTTGACCTGTCACAGTAATGTGAAACAAATAAAACACCATTGACGATAAGTACTGTCGGTGCCACTCACTTTCCGGGGAGGGTACCGCGTGATGACTTCGCGCCTAGTTAGAGACGCTGCTAATCGATGTCGCTAGAGTTGTTGTTGCCAGTTTCTATTTGGCGAGTCTGAATGATTGTCCGGAGGTGTAGAAACCTGGGAATGTTTTTGGTAGACTATCACCAAGTCAATTCCCCATTCATTTTTTTCTATTGCTGCTGCGCTGGTATGTCCTAATCTCCATAATCCTGCCGTGGTAAACTCGAAAACTGGTTTGGCCATTTGATCGGACGACCGATACCTTAGCATCACCATTCCATTAAATCATATTCACACACACACAATACGTGTTACTGGAACCTACGTGTCCTGCTCCTTCGACATTGGACAGCTTGGAGAGTAAGACAGTGTGCCTCGCCACAGCTTTTTATGTCGTACTAATCGGAGGCCTTGGTTTACATCCGCACGTGTTCCAGTGCCATTCCCGGAAAATCCTTTTTACAGAGTGGCGTTTGTAGGATAGCGCTTTCTAAGTCTGTCCATCACCACCAGTATTTCTCACCGTACACAATGTCCGACGCTTATTGGGTGGCATCAGTGAAGAGTGCTTACCCACATGTTGCACTGAGTGCATTACGTACTATGCGTGTGAGGAGACCTTGGCCTTCCATGTGCAGAGTGGCAACGATGGGAAGGTAGCTAGTCTGTGACCTATCACCTGGATACGGAATGCCTTGACCCGTTTATGTTGACAACTGCCGCCTTTCCGGATGATGATGAAAATCTAGTTAGACTAGCAGACAGCCACAAAGACCAATGCAGTTTGTCAGTACGTCCAGTGCATTGATGACTATCCTTATTACTCCACAAAACAACCGTTCTTTCTTCGCCAGAAGAGTACACTTCCGAAAGACACTGATACTAATCGTAGACCGAGGTTGACTATTTCAGGCCGTATTGCATGTTTCCTGTTTCCGGACAACCGCCCAAACTCGATAAATGTCAAGCTACCTACCGTAGGTTGCTTCGTTCTTCCATGTTGCGGCTTCGTTACTTCCTATCCGTACTGAAACCGTGGCACGCCATAGTGCTGAAAATGGCGAAAAGTATGCTTATTAATCGGTTGTGTCAAGTTTGCGCGGCATAATTTTCACTGTTGTGATGCGATATTCTATAAACAGTACCAAGGACATTCACCCTGTTACTGTACTTTACTTTGCAACGGCTTAATCTTGGAGAAGGGTCAGTCGGCTCGGAGTCGCTGCGAGGTCCGGGCTCTGCATGAGCACATTTCTCTTTCACTGCGTGATACCTTAGACCACCTGCAGGCGCAATAGATCAAAATTGGTCTTACCTATAGAGATCCTGGTTTTCATTTGTCCTCCGTCGCAACAGCGCCCTCCTGCACAAGACAACAGCGACAGTAAGAATCTGCACGGTCGACTAGTAAATCTGAGTCAGCAGCCCAAGAAATCCGTATTTTAGTGGAACGGATCAGTCCTTTTGGAGAGTAGGAAAATGTTCTCCCTTCAGTCTGATGGGTCTGCTCCTTGGAAAATGCAAAATGTCCCTCTGATGGGGATGTCTCTTCACGAGAGAACGTCAGAATCCACATCCCTAGATAACATCCATTTCAGAAGGTATTCGCTGTAAACCGAAGTAAACTCGGTAGATTTTTCGGCGGTAGAATCAAGCTTCTGTTCGAAACTTCAAAAGAGTGAAATAGCTGTACGCCGTATTTTTCCCCACGCCGTGAACCATGGCGAAACACGTCCCTCCGAAATCAAAACGATACTCTTTTTAGACAATAAATCATGAGTTTTCGTGTCACAAAGGAGGAAAGCTCTTCTGTTTTCGCGAACTGACAAAACTTCCTTGATTTCGAAACCTGTCGGTTAATCGGTTTTCTCCTGCTAGTGAATCGAAAATAAATCTTTCCCAAAATGAAACAGCCCCTAAATGTGTACTTTGTTGTGTTGGCTTCTTAGGATCATCTGTATCGTGAACATAATGGCCTCGAACAGCAATTTGGAGAAGGTCCCATCGATCATGTACACTCATTAGTTGGTCGGGTAACTAAGACGTGAAAAAGGAGTTTTTGGGTCTTGTCTGGGGAGAAATCTTTGGTTTGAAGTGATAATAAGGTCACCGTTTTAATCTGTCTTAATGACGGAATGAGGATCAATCTGATTGCTACGACTTGTGAGATTTATGGAGCGTTCTTTTAGGTTCATATTTGAACAACCAATAAGTGAATAGTTCGGCAGGTTGATTTGGTAGTTCGTACTGATCGCTTGTGCTGCTTCTCGGGTCCTAATGCGTGACGGTAGGTGCTCGACCATTCTTTGACTTAACACTAGCGAACGAAAGGACGAATTAACAATTCTTTCTCTCTCTCTTTCAGCCCAAGTTGCCAAACTCGCGAACCAACCCAGGGCTCCTAACCACCAACCCTACTCTGACTGCAGTACATTCCCTCTCCTCTACTTCACGTCCGGATTCCGCAACCCAACCTACATCAGTTCCCAACAAAACGTCTCCTGGTAGCAACACCAGCAAACCGGCAGTGATTTCCAAACCGGTGATGGCTACCAATCGGCCACGCAACTTTGATTTTTCCGACAGCGAGGGAGATGAAGCGGGAAAACTACCACAGGCAATCAGTCGAACAAAACTCCCACGACTCACTTCACTTATGGGCGGTCTAAGTCACTCACCACCCAGTCCTGCTTCTGTCAAAGAGCCGTCACCACATCCCAGCGATAAAGACCAAGAGGAGCCAGAGGAGGCGGATGAAAATGAGAGTGGTGAGTTGGATGATGAGGTCGAAGACGTCAAACCATGGTTTTGTCCTGCCAGTCGAAGAGAACCACAACGAACCACCACAAAGCCGACTACTCAGATGTCCTGTCCGGCCGGAAGCAGGGTTGAAAAATCACAGAAGCCAGTGAGTTTTGTGTTTCCTGTTTGCTGTATCAGTTCAATCGATATTGAATAATTACCATCATTAGTTTCAGCGTTGATCAGTCTGTGAGCAACTGCCTCCTGCTGCTGAAAGTTAAGCATGGGCGAAAAGAAAGGATCACAAGTGCATTTTGAGAGAACAGGCGAGAGCTGTTAACTGACGTCGTAGAGTAGATTGACTAGCTTGTAAATAGAGGCTCGCTATTAACTGCGACATGTTACAATATCGGGAGGTGTCCACAACCATCGATGTGAGTTGTCGCCTTATTCACACCCCGGAGGGCGAAATCTGCCAGCTTTATGTTCAAGGCCATGAAACCAGCTGACCACAGCTTCGTCTCCGGTTCGGTCGGGACTTTGCAGAAAGTCACCCTCCAAACATTCGGAGAACATGACTGGTCAGCGAATACTGCATCTTCAGTAGGTCGCGTATTGGGCATCCATCTTTCTCACTTCAATGCTGATTAGAGCCAGTTGGCGGAGACAGTGATCGCCGAAAATCGAGAGCTTGTATGCATCTTCTTTAGAAGGTCGAGTATCCCAATCGTGCAGGAAGACCAACTGTACATAGGCACCATACACCATAAACAATACGGTGATGATTGCTCAGTAGTTAGAGCGCAAAAAGGTCGGTGGTTCGAACCCAACCTCTGCATCTCGACTACTCCTGTCTAGGCTCGAGCAACCTGATGGTATCTCAGCCCTCGGGCTTCCTTCGGGTGGCATAGCAGCTACGCGCCGTAAGGGTGTTACAACTGGACGATTATTATTGTTTATTAAACAGTACAGTAGTCAGTGTTGAGCACTTTCTTCGAAAACCTGGGATTTTTTGAAGCTACAATCGAAGAAATGCAGTGAATGCAGGGTGCGCTTAGCCGGCTACTCCGCAACATGAAAATAGGAGTGCAGTCTTTCCGAACTTTTCCGCACTTGATAGCAGCCCTTCTACTTAGGAGCTCGCGTATTCCCCCGTCTTCTGGCAGTGCCTTACATTTTGAGGGTGCAAATCGCATCGCGTAAAGACGTGATCTCCTTTGTAAAAGACTCAATATTGTTTGCATCTATGATGCTCTATGCTCTTATGCATCTATGATGCTGGTGTGGGTTGGAGTAGGCGACTCCGTAACGAGACAGTTAGAAAGCGCGTTTTCGTCTGTGCAGCGGGTACTTCCATTAAAGAATAACACCAGAAGCTGCGTTGGCTGGGACATGTGTTACGTATGCCGAACCATCGTTTGCCGAAGAGAGTGCTGTTTTCCATGCCTAATTCAGAGTGGCGTAAACAGAGAGGTGGCCAACCCTTGACTTGGCAGAGGAGTATGAAGGAGATCACGAAACGCTCGGGTGCTGTCGGTGGTACTCGCCTTCCAGGATGGGGACCACGTGATCCTCGCTGTGCCTGGTTGGAGACACTACATGATATGGCTGCCAACCGACGTCAATGGCGTTCTTGTTGTCAGTTTCTATCCAGATCGCCTGAGTGAGTGTCTGGAGGTACAGGCACCTCGGGATGGTTGTAGTAAGCTAGCACTAAGTCCCTTCCTCGTTCACCTTTACTTTACAATAAGGCTTTCAAATAAATCATGGTTGTACGACAGTGAAGCATCGGTGTTGAACACTGATGTCATGCTGTCGATGATGGTGATGAACTGAGGAAGACAGTGTCATCCAGATACTCATGCCACCCGGACGAAGCGCTTGAGTACTCTGTCAGCATCAATCACAACGCTAAAAAAGTGAGCAAACTGAACTTTACTGAGCCCCACGTGATGCAGAGAACGTTGCAGACACTTTTCCACACAACACCATCCTGTTCTCTCATAATATTGACACAAACCTCGAGGTAGCTCATTGTTTGAGGCGCAAACTTATCGATTGAAAGGCCTGTGGTTTGAACTTAACCTCCACATCTCTACTTGCGCAACCTAAGGGTACCTCAGTTCTCGTGCTTCCTTCGAGTGGCATGGCAGCTAGACACCGAATGGGTGTTACGGCCAAACGAGTATTATCATTATTATATTGGCAAACTTATCGCGCACTCCAACTTCATACTGAGCTTTCTAATTCAGAAGTACTAAGCTTGTTGTCTGGATGTGTCGGCTACCTAGTGTCAATCCCAGCGTGAAAATCCGGTCGACCGGGACCACAGCTTACCCGATTTCTTCTTGATAATGTGGGAGGACGCATAATATAACCTGTCACCAAATTAGGCGGGACCTGAACCAGACTCATGCCTCTATAGTTAGCAAAAGGTAGCTCTCGAGTCCATGAAAACGTGGATAATGGTTCATGGTCATCTGTCTTGTGATACCTTCTCGGAATCCTATACGCACCGTAAGAGATAAGGATTCCGCCCCATCGTTGAGGAGCGGGAGAGGGAGTCCGAGCCGGGTGATTTGTTTGTTTCGTCCAAACAACTTCGATCCTGAAGGTTAGCTTCTGGAGCCGGCCTACTGCGTCGAGGTATGCTAGCTGAATATCCGCTTCTAGCCAGCTCGACTGTTCTTCGAAGTTCCCATCCTATCTATCAAGATGTCGAAACAAACTGTGATTAAAACCGTCATCTTCGCGTACAATCTCCCTAACATCCGCTTTTTCGACCGGAGGAACTGCAAGAATCCAGAAACAGTACGGCTGTGGTCAGGAACGAAAGGTTTTCCCCAGCCCATCTAACGTCCTCGTAGTGTTTTTCAGCTTTGCTACAGCTCGTTTCCATCTTGTGTTGGGTCAAGTGGAATGGGATCGGCGCAGAGATGACGATTTAAGTGTGATCCTTTCCGGGCTCGTGTTACCTCAGTGAAGCACCAGTGTTCTCCCCTGGTGTTGCTGTCGGCGTTAGTGCTGATGAATGGGTTTCGTCTTGCCAACTGTTCCGCACGCACTTTGCAGGCTGTTTGAATTCTTTCCCGATGTTTGTCAAGGTTTGATCGTTCCTGTCGTAAAAAAAGAGTCGTTCTTGATAGGCTTTGCTCATTGGCTTGCCGGACGGATGCACATTTATCTACCGGCAACCGTGAGTTGATGCTCTTTCAGCGAAGCGTAATTGGAAGCGCACACAGTTGGCAAAGTGGTCTGATTACGGATGTTTCCTCCAACATAAACAGGCATTCTTTCACCCTTTACCGCTGTCTGTAGCTAATTATCATTATTTATTTGTGTTAGAGTGCGAATTCACTGACCGGAACGTCCGTGGTTCGAACCCGACCTATGCCTCTCGACTTCACTGTCTAGGCTTGGGCAACCTGGCAGCATCCCAGCCCTCGTGCTTTCTTCGGGTAGCATGGCAGTTAGGCACCGAATGGGTGCTACAGCTGAACGACTTGTTTATATTATTTATTTGTGTTCATGGCTTTATGGACACGGTGGCGTCCAAGCGTTTTTTATCTTGAATCGTCATGCTGGTGAAACCTAGTTGGAGCAGTCTTTCACCATCGTTTGCACGTCGTGCGTGGACACTGGATACAACACCCGATCGCTTTTTCTTTGCAATAAATCGACCAAGTTGGGTGTTATGTCTACGGCAAGAATTATGCGGCTGGTATAGGGGGTCTGAAAAGCATCTTAGAAAGCGTTTTTGTCGAATTCTGGACTGTTCCATCTTAGCGTAGTTCAATAATGTGAGTCATTGTTTGTATACCAACCTAATAGCGCATGACATGCGATCCAGAGGGGCCCAGCCAATCATACTCCTTCCACTTTGGTATTTGGGACGATTCCCACACCAGCTTGTTTCCGTTTTTCGATGTTTTTGTCACTAATGACTGCCAGTTGGTGACGATGGTCTGGACCATTCTATGTAGATGCATTGAAAATGATAACAAAACCGCGATCTGTGTGGAATATCTTCGTGTTTTTGTCCGACACCTGATATCAGAAATAATCGTCTCCGATGCAGTCTCGACTGACGATTACAGTCATAAATGCACTGCCTGATTAAAATATTTGCATTGGAGCCGTTTCGGCGGTAAACGGTGCGATAAAAAGGTTTTTAAGTCACTTTGTCACGGTCAGTTAAGAACTGTAGTTGGTCGGTCAAAGTGAGGTCAGTGTTTTCAATCGACTTTCAATTGACTGTGCGTTTGTTCCGTGCTGTTTAATGGCAACCACTCCGGCTGGTGTTGGTGTGGACTCTGTGTGCACAATCATCATCATTCTCAGCTGTAAGAACCGCGTACTTCTCGTAGAGTGATTATAGCTGCCACAATTGTGTTGGATGATATGGGGAGGTAGGGGAGGCAGCTGCGCATTGGAGGTGGGAGCTGATAAATTGATGTGTAAGCAGAGGGGAAGGGAGCTAAGAATTGAAGGCAAAAGCTTTGGTGCATGAGCGCCATTGAGGGCGCGACTGGGCCATGTCTGACAATGTCTCCAACCACTGATGTGTCCCATCCAAGGAGACGGCAATGACCAGCGCAGCTGACTTTGTTGGTAATGGATTTCACACTTCGTTGCCAAGTCATTGATTGACCTCTCATGACTCGTTTTCGCCCTTCGAGGAATTCAGTCGACTGGCATACGGATCACGTGACCAAGCCAGCTCTCTTTGGTCGCCTAAGCCTTGTTTTGCTGTTCGGAATGATGTTTCTACTTCATTTACTTCCATGTAACTGTATGGAAGTCAGAAGTCGGTTGTGACACAACAGCCGGTACAGTTCCCCACAATCTCACTTTCTTTCATTCATGCTTGGTCATATTCCTCCCAGGACAGGGCGGACAAAACTAACCATCTAATCAGTCATTCTGGAATTTAGTGTGGTCATGCGGCCGTTTATCATTACATTGAACGTTAGTAGGACTGTTTTAACACTGCTAGCCACATCAGTCGCGCTAACTGGCCAATTCGACTTAGTTTAATCGTGCTTGGTGTGAGATAATTATACGCTTTCCACCGATACAAGCGTACATACATATCAATCCACCAGTTAAAGATTTGTTTTCCTCTTCACGTGTTCCATCGAGCACGTTTATTCGTTCCGTCCTGTC